CTAGAGAGAGAGTTTAAATCTAGAAAAAAATCAGAATATCCATAATAAAATTAAAACAGAATCAATAAAAAGTACTTTAAAAAATTCTCAACAAAATATTGCAAACTTAATTTGGGAAAACATTAGGAATACCATAAATTATGGTCAGGCATGCTTTATCCCAGAAAGGCAAGTTTTGTTCAACATATATAAATCAATATTTATAAAATACCATATAAATAGACTTAAGAACAGAAACCATGTCATCTCAATTGACACAAAAAAGGCATTCAACACATTTCAAAATGCCTCCATGATTAAAATCATGGAGACATTAGAAGTAGGTTGAGTGTGACTCAAAATAACAAAGACTAAATATAACAAACCTATAGCAAACACTATATTAAATGGAGACAAACTGACCACATTTCCTCTAAAATCAGGAATGAAACAAGGACGCTCATCCTCCCCTTCCTCATTTAACATTGTGCCTGAAGTCTTAGAGATAGCAAATACACAAGAGAAAGACATAGAACTAGATAAAGTAGTAAAGGAAGAAGTCAAACTATCACAATTTGCAGATGATATGACTTTATACTAAAAGATGCTATAGAATCTACCAGAAAACTCTGAGATCTAACAAACACAGTAAACTTACAGGATAAATATTCAAAAGAAAATAAGTAGTAACCTTCAATAACATACTCTCTGAGAAAGAAATTAGAAAAAAGTACCATTCAAAATAACTGCAGAAAAATAAGTACCTGGAATACATCTAACAAAAGAATAGAAAAAAAAAAATCTACAATGAAAATTTTAATTCACCAAAAAAGGAAAGAAAAGAAAATACTAGACTATACCTTCCATGCTCCTGGATTGGAAGAATTAATATTGTGTTATTTTAATTTTGTAATATTGTGTTATTGTAATAATACTGTAAAATTAATATTAACAACAGAACAGAGGGTCTGGAAACAAACCACAAAGCTAGGCCTACCCAATTCTATATCAATGATGCAGAAACATACATGGTAAAAGAGAGACTATTTAAGAAATGATGCTGCCCAAACTGGATATCCACAAGTAGACGAATGAAATCAGATTCATATATTTCAAATTGTACAAAATCATTTAGAAATAGATCAAAGACTTTAATTTAAATCCTGAAACTCTGAAAGTTCTAGATAAAAGCGAAAGGAATACTCATTAGGACATTGGGCTAGGCAAAAACTTTCTGAACAGAACATCAATAGCACAGGAGTAGCAACAGATGGGACTATGAAGTTGACAAAGTGTCTGCACCACAAAGAGAACTATCAGCAGAACACCCAGACAGCCAACAGAATGGGAGCGAATCTTTACCAACTATACCACAGACAAAGGACTAATATCTGAATTTACATGTTCTGTAGAAATTAAATATGAAATAAAACTAAATATCAACAAATGAGCTAAAGAATTGAATGCTAATTTAAAAAGTACAAATATCCAATAACTACTTTAAAACTTTTCCAACATCCCTAGTCATCATGGAAATTAAAATTAAAACTACTTTGAATTATCACTTCACCCCATTCTGAAATGTTGTCATCAAGAAATCTGACCAAAATGTTGGAGAGGATGCAGTAAAGAGTATCCCAGGTAAATCACTTGTGGGTTTGTAAATTAATACAAAAACCATGGAAATCAGTTTGGAGGGTCTTCAGAAAAATCAGAAATAGAATTACCATACAATCCAGCTATTCCACTCATGGGCATATTCGCACAGAATTCCATACCTTACCGAAGAGGTATGTGCATCCGCATATTTATTGCTGTTCTTGTCACTGTAGCAAGGAAATGGAACCAAGGTAGTTGTCCATCAAAAGAAGAATGAATAATGGAAATATGGCACATATATAAAATGAAATATAATTCAGAAATCAAGAAAAATCAAATCACAAAATTCATAGGAAAGTGGAAGTATACTATTAAGTGAAGCCACCCATTATGAGGAAAAAGAAGCCCTCATGTTCTTCCTTGTATCTTTATCAAAACTTGTAAGTTACACATGATATATGTGTAAACAAATATACATGTAGGTATAGCACGACATTTAGAATGTAAAACCATAATTTAAATAAAACATTTACTAATATACATAAGTAAATAAGTTTTTAAATATTTTTATTATTTTTATGTGTATGTGTGTATTGCCTGCATGTAGGTAAGTGCACCCATGTCGTGCAATGCCTGTGTAGGACAGAAGAGACCATCAGATCCCCTGGAACTGGAGTTACAGGCAGTTGTTAGCTGCCGTGTGGGTATTAGGATTCGAACCCCGGTCTTCTGCAAGAACAACCAGTGTAATTAACTGCGGAACCATCTTTCCAGCGGGTAAATATTTTATTAGTATATTAGTAAATATATATAATATATGTAAGTAAATATTTTATTTGTAAATATATATATTTATATTAAACTTTGCATATGTTTTTGAATCCACTTAAGCTAACCAAACAAAATTTTCAGCATAGACATGACGAAACAATTAAAAAATCCCAGCCCAATCTAAGGAACTTTTGGCAATTGATGGCTGCTGGGAGAGAAAGAATATCTTACAGGAATGGGACTCTTAGTGGGCCCAGGTGGATGTATTCACACTGAATGACATTTGAGGACACAAATCAGACCCTATAGGTTATACATATTAAATTAAATTTGGTGGGGGCAGTAGGGGAATTTGAATGCCATCAAAGTACATTGTATACAAATAGCAAAAAATCAACAAAATTATTATTAGCTATAAAAACACGTCTTCAATGCAAAATAAGTCCTTAAATGCATAGCATCTTTCAAGGGTTGTTAACTTAGTGGGAGATTTGAATCTTAAATGATGTTTTCCAGTGTTTGTATATTTCTATGCAACGTAGTTTTTTGTAACTACTAGTAAACAGTATATTTTATTTTGTAAAAATATTTCAGTAAGGAATGAGAACCTTGGCACTGGGATGTTAAATAACTTATTCTATCAGAATAAAGAAGTTCAGGGGAGGAGTGTAACATAGATCCTCTACATACATAGTCTATTCTTTTCGATGACAGAAATCAAAATTATTTATCCATAAATAATTTCTTATGTTTAAAAGCAGAGATATTAAAATGGAAATTTTTAGTAAGCATAAAAATGGTACTATAAATGCTAGACACTAAAGTGTCTTGGAGGTTTAAGAAAATTGATTTAATAGTAGAATTCTTGCTTAGTATGTAGACGGCACTGGAATTTGTTCTTAGAGGAATGTAGAACAATTCTATACAAAAAAATTAAATCTGTTATTTGGGAGAGGGGTCAGAAGACATAACACCTGAAAGTTTGTTTGCGCTCCTTAATTTTTTTTATTAAATAATGAAGCCTGTGAATTGGTAATGGAACATTGTCATTAAAGATGTGGGAACAAAGACAGAAAGGATGCAAACAAAGATTTCCCTGAAGACATGAAGCTCATTAGGAGATGGGAGTTCAATATTGGCTCAAGCACAGAGGATGTATAATCCCAAAAGAGGGCATAACTGACTTAAACATTAGATCCTCAGGGTAAGAAAAAAGAAACATCAGGATTTACCACGTAGCTGAAATCACCTCTTTTTGTTATTTATAATTTTAATCTGCTCTAGGAAGAGAAGCTTTGCCCTCTCACAAAGTGTCAAGTATGATAATAGACAAGCTGTGCACTTTTCCTCTAGTGTTTCAGTGGATTAAGGGCTATTATTATGAACTGTGAACAGTACGTCAGACAAATGCCCAGAAAATATGAGAAATCAGTGCCATTCTGCATCCTCTTAGAATAAACTAGCAATCACTGAGCATGATATTGTTCATCAAAGAAGAAAGTGAAAATAATTGTGATAAGGAACATTTTCAAAGTAGTGTAAGTTTTAAAATCTATTCATAGAATTTTCTTGACTTTTATTTAACAACATTTTTGAGATAATACTAAAATACATAAAGAGGTATATATGACACAGACATTTATTTTGACCAACGTTTTCACCAAGAAATGAATTAACAATGGAGCTAATTTGTATATACTTCCTTTCCACGAAGGTATACTTTGTGTAGCTTATGCATGGATATATAGTGAGAAGTTAATTTTGTGATGTATCAATTTGCAAACTTGGGTATACAGTACAGCATTTTTAACTGTTATGAGCATGATGAATATTAGATGTCCAGAACTTAATCACCTTAGGTAATTTGAACTTTTATATTTTGTCCAGCATCATCTGTCTTTCTCTTCTTGTGGTTCCCATAACCAGTATACTACACTTTGTTTCTGTGAATGTAACTGCTTAATATTTTCAGTATATGGGAATAACACACAGTATTTCCTCAACTGTGTTTTGCTTATGTTTGCATAAATTGATATCCTAATATTAGCCCAAGCATCTGAACTGTGCCATTTTCTTTCCATTTTGGCAATACTAAGAGTCACATGAAATTTCTAAATTTCAGAATGACAGATATGCAAGAAGTATTTTTTGAGTTAAAAGAAATCAGACTGCAAAACCATAATCAGTAACTTCATTGGATATGGATATTTCTCACATTCTAGATTTATTTATTTTTTCTGTGATACTAGCAGTTTCATATTTATCCGTAGATTGTGGCTCTTTTGTTTTGGATTAGAAACTGTGTTCATGTTTTCCCCTGCCCCAGAGGCTAATCTGAATGGGTTGTTATTCTCGTTCTTAATGGTACACCCTACATGCTAGACTATGACAACACTGATATTAATTCTGTATGCTGTTAAAGATACTCTGTATTGTATTTAGCATTTATGGAAAACATGTTGTCACTCAATGTCATGGTAGCAGGAAAGCTTTTTTTTTTTTTTTTTTTTTTTTTTTAAAAAAAAAAAAAAAAAAAAAAAATCCGGGCTAGTCATTTTAAGACATTCTGTGAATATACTTTCAATATGGGGGAAAAGCTATTTTTATAGCTCAAAGTTGTTTTCTGTTTCCACAGATTCTCTTAGAGAAGAATGGTTCTAGCAAACAGCTCCTTGGTAACTGAATTCATTCTCTTGGGGTTAACAGACCAGCCTAACCTCCAGATACCACTTTTTGTACTCTTTCTAGTAATGTATTTGATTACTGAACTGGGAAATCTGGTTTTAATCATTCTAATTGTGCTGAATTCTCACCTACACACCCCCATGTACTTTTTCCTATTTAACTTGTCCTGCATAGACCTGTGTTACTCTTCTGTGGTTACACCCAAAATGCTAATGAACTTCATACTAAGGAAGAACCTTATCTCCTATGTGGGATGTATGACCCAGTTCTACTTCTTCTGTTTTTTTGTCATATCTGAATGCTATGTCCTAACAACAATGGCCTATGACCGCTATGTGGCCATCTGCAATCCACTGTTGTATGACACTGCCATGTCCCCCAAAGTATGCTGTTATCTTTTGCTTGCTTCATATTTCATGGCATTTTCTGGTGCCATGATCCACACAGGATGTGTTCTGAGGTTGACCTTCTGTGACGGAAACATCATTAACCAGTTTTTCTGTGATGTCCTCCCTTTGTTGCAGCTCTCCTGCACCAGCACCTATGTCAATGAGATAGAGATATTCATTGTAGCAGGAAAAGACATCACTGTGGCCAGTTTTATCATTTTTATCTCCTATGGTTTCATCCTCTCCAGCATTCTCCAAATTAGGACCACTGAGGGCAGGTCTAAAGCCTTCAGCACCTGTAGTTCCCATATACTTGCTGTTTCTCTGTTCTTTGGATCAGGGGTATTTATGTATCTCAAGCCTTCCTCAGCTGGGTCTATGGATCAGGGAAAAATTGCTTCTATTTTTTATACCATTGTGGTTCCCATGATGAATCCCTTAATATATAGTTTGAGAAACAAAGATGTTAAAGTTGCCCTGAGAAAAACCCTGAATCGAAGAATTTTTTGATCAAAAACCAAATCTCTGTGCCTGTAGTTAAGCACAGACAGATCTCTATGTTCAATATATTTCTATTTTCAGATTTCTTATCCACTGTCTTTTCTACCTGAAGAGGAAAACTGGAAAATTGGAATTTCTCATGCATGTAGATTTTATTTTAGAGTATTTTTGTGTCCTTACTCTGTTCTAAATCTCTTCTTTTGGCATCTGACTTACTAACAAATTACAAGATAAAATAAATTTCATTTGTTCATTGTTGTTATATACATTATCTGTGGAAATAATGAATTATTCTGCTACTGATTCAAATAACAAACAATTTTTGCTTGCCATTTGCAGGACACATCTCATATGCCAATTTAAATGAAATATGAATATGAAATCATATCTGTGTTCTTGGAAAGAATATGTCACTTTAAAGGCCAATGTTTAATAGATACAGAGATGTTTGCCTTACTCGTGAATATGTTATATTGAAAAATTACATATTAAATGTTAAACATTCTTTTGTCAGATGTCTGTTACTTACCTTGCAATGATAGATGGAAATATTATGAAGACAATTAACATATTTATTTCATGATTAAGTTTTTGAGGGTCAGGCAAATTAGTGCTTTTTGCAACAATCATTGAATTAACTGTGCAGAACAGGCCAACTTGGGCTACAGGATAAGAGGATCTAAATATAACTAAATCATCACATTTTTCTTTCATTCTCATACAAAATATAGACAATAAACCTTACTTTGATCTGGGAGTGATGAGAATTTGAACAACATATTTGATAAATGAATTAAATTTTTAAAAATTATTTTTAAAGGTGAATAATGATGGATTTTATGATAAAACAGGCAAAATATGATTAAGCTGAAAATTATTTATCTGGCTCCATGTCATAATATAACCATATGTATACACACTTTTTCCCCATTTTTCAACTTTTCATTATGTATTTATGTATTTAAAAATTGAACCTATGTTGGTTCTTATCTAAACTTCCTATATGCAGACCAGATAATTATATTTTTGTATTTATTTCTATTTTATATGTTTGAATGTTTTGGTTGCATGTAAGTGCGGCTGTGTCATACAAAAATCACTACAGAGGCCTGAAGAGGGCATCAGATCACTTGGAAGTGGAGTTCAACATGGAGTCAACACGTGGGTGTTGGGAACCCAGTCTGGGTCCTATGGAAGGACACTCAGTGCTCTTAACCTCTGCTCCACCACTCATCCTCCCTGGATAAATTCTTTATTTTTGGCTCAATGTACATTTTTTTCCATTTCATTGGCTCCAATATTAGTAAGTTTGCTTGTTACTTAATGACTTCTACTTACATAAAAACTTTGAACTTGATAGAAGTTTCTTTTCTACTTTTTCTAGCTATTTACTAATATTCTGCAAAATCATATTCCTTATTGAGTAAAAAAAAAAAAAATAAGAAAATAGCTGGACATGGTGGCACACACCTTTAATTCCAGTAGTCAGGAATCAGCAGCAGGAGGTTCTCTGAGAAATCAAGTCCAGCCTGATCTACATAGTGAGTTCCAGGCTAGCTGGGGCCGTAGGGGGACCCTGTCTCAAAAAACTAGGAAGTGACACTAGATAGCCTGAACAGGCTCCAGTGAATAGACTCACAATGAGAGAAGGCTGGGTACACAAACTGGACTCGATAGGCTTTATCAGGTAAGACAGAATGTGTGAAATCCTGTGGGCAAGCTATGAGGGTGGGGCATATAGAGAAGGTTTTAGTATGATTAAAATGTATTGTATAAGGGGACTGGAGAGATGGTTCAGTGGTTAAGAACACAATGTTCTTGAAGAAGACCTGGGTTTGAATCCCAGCACCTACATGGTAGCTAAAAACAGTCCGTACTTACAGTTCCAGGGGATTTGACAGCCTCTTCTGTCCTCTGCAGGCATTCCACAACACAGATGCACTTACCTACATGCAGGCAATACACACATAAAATAAAATAAAAAAAAAATTATAAATAAAATATTTTTAAAATGTATGAAATTCAGAAAACTTCAATAAAATTATACATTGTAAACCACAATAAAGAAGATCAAAGAGGGCAAAGACAAAAGGAAATATTCTTTGTTTTTTTCTAACATTCTTGGAACTGCAGTTTACTCCATTGATTCTGTATCTCAAGCAACAGTTTTAAAACATTCCCATGGATTCCCAACTGTCGACTTCTCTTTTGTTGCTAATATTCTAATTCCTTTTGTGTCAAGTCCAATGAATCTCTGCCAAATGAATTGACAAAAGGAATTGTCTAATGTTTTCTTTAAATACTATTCAGAAAATTCACCTTTCTCCAGTAAGAATGGCTAAGATAAAAGAAATACAACAAATTCTAAAAATTTTGTTATGGCTATGGGGAAAGGGGAGCAATTATCCACTACAGGTGCCCATACAAACTGTTACAACCACTGTAGAAAGGAATGTGGAGGTTCAGTAAAATGCTAGAAATAGATCTATCATATAAGCATAGGCATACCCAAAGGACTCTCTATATCCTACCACATAGATACCTGCTCACCCATGTTCATTGTGGCTCTCTACTCACAAAAGCTAGGAAATTGAAACAATCTAGATGTCTGTCAATTATTGAATGGATAATGGAAATGTACATTTATGATATAAAAATTATTCAGCCCTTAAGAAAAAAGAAATTGACAGGAATATGGATGGAGCTGAAAACAATCATTCTAGGTGAATTAATCCAGACCTAGAAAGACAAATGCACAGGTCTTTTTTCATTTGTGGAGGTTAGCTTTGAGAATTTCGATATGTGTGTTTCATTTGGAATACCCACAGAAGTGAAGAAATTATGAAGGGGCCATGAGGGGCAAGGGCTTTCAAGGGAAGGAAGATAGAACACAATGGCTAAAAGGGGCAAATGAACATAATGGAGCAGGAAGGGGTAAATAGAGTGAAGATTGAGAGACGGGCAGAAAAGAGAATATAGGAAGGGATAATGAAAACCTACTACTATAGAAACTTACTAATGCATACACATACATATAGAAAAGCAATATTAAATGAAGTTACCATGTAACAGGGAGCCACCACAGGCTAACAAAAATCAGTGCCAAGAATGGATTAGCTTTTTTTTGGAGTTACAGGCTATTGACGATGCCCCTGGTTTTCTCCCAGAACTACATGGTAAGACCTGATTGCTGAAGACACTGTCTACTTAGTCTCTGAACATTGAGAAATTGGGTTTGTATTGATTTGGAAGCATTTAACCTATTAGCTAGCTCTCATAGTGTGGAAGTTATTATGCATCCTGCCAGAAGGAAACAATCATTATTCTTACCCAACTCTTAACTCTATGAACTACAATAGGACTGGCCTGCCAAGATATTTGTGAAATAGTGGCAAAAATGGCATGAGGGTAAACTATAACTTTCTGATAGGATTTAAGGCCTGGTTTAGGAGATGAAACACATAGCTGTCACTATTTTGGGGTCTAAGAACCTGTAGCTAAACAGGTTTTAGGTCCATTGGGAGAATCTGCTACTATTGTTTTGATAAATAAAGATAGCAGTAAAGTGACTTCTAAGAGACTGTGGAATGCTCAGTCCTCAGTCGTACACTTATATCACACGCTCCTGCTTTTCAAATCTGAGGATTCATTGTGGAAATGTGGATGGAAATATTGTAAGAGTCAGAGGCAATGAATGACTACAACATACTGTTTTTCGGACACAAGACATAGGTGCACATATAAATTCACAATGTTTGTGAAAGCATGCACAAGACCTCCATAATGCCATGACAGAAAACAAGGAAGCAAGCAAGCAAGCAAACAAGCAAACAAACAAACAAAAAAACTCAGCAGGGAGAGGTGAGGTATACATTCCTGTTCAATGGTAGTTGAGGATATAAAGATAATTTATAGCTGCTAGGAAAGGAAGAGTTAATTTTCTTTAATGGTGTAGCCTCCAGTATGTTGACCACACTCCACTGAATGGCCACTCACCCAATGCTATATCTGCATCACAAAAAGGATCTGAGGAGTTTGAGAAAATAGAAAGCAAAGAGTCCACATATTTGGGTGGGTAAGGAGGGGGGATGGATCTGTTAGTTGGTATAGAAAGGGGAATATATATGATCAAAATACATTATATAAAGTTCTTAAGGAACAAATACAAATGAGGAAAAGAATATTATTGTTGAAGTTCTTATATCCATATTTGCATATACTTGAAATTAACTTTTGTATGTTATTTTTAAAATCCAAAACCTACTCTGTATCTGATAAATATCCTCATGTTGCATAACTGTAAATTAAGATGGCTTATTCATTGCACTATGTTGGTATCCTTAACATGATTCATTTAATATGAATGAATGAACATGTTTGTTTCCCTGTTCAGTTTCACTAGTGTGTATAGCTCCTTTAAATCAGTACCAAATTACCTTAATTACTGGAGGATTACAATAAATTTTTATGTTAGGGGCTGGAGAGATGACATAGCAGTTAAGAGCAGAGGACTAGGGCTTTGTTACCAGCATTCACATAGCAGCTAACAATCAACCGTAACTCTAGTTCCTGTGAATTTGAGGCCATCTGCTGACCTCTAAGGACATTGCATGACACAGGAGCACTTAACATACCTGCAGGCAATAATACATTCATTTCCCTTAAATAAAAATAATAAAATATTTAAAAAATTTTGATGTTTGGAAGTACAAATTATCATTCTGTTACTTTTCAAGTTTCTGTTAGCTAATCAGCACTCCTTGAAATACTACATAAATTTTAAGATGCATTTTTCTAATTTTGCATAAAAATCTCTGACTTAGAGGAATTTCATTGAATCTGTAGATTGCTTTGTTTATTAAGGTCTTGGCAATATTTATATTATAATTTATAATACAGAGTGAACTTTATTTATGTGCTTTATTTCTTCTTCAATGTTTGGTAGTTTTCATTTCATGAATCTTTATTTTCCTTGGTTTAGTTAATTCTGATATACTTTAATGTTCTGT